CGGCCAATAACAAATCTGCCCTCATCCATGACTTGATTGTGGATGAGGGGGCCGACCTGGCCTGTATAACGGAGACCTGGGTGGGGGGGGGGATGTTGCCCTCTCCCAATTGTGCCCGCCCGGGTATATGGTCCAGCACTGTTCACGGCCGGAGGGGAGGGGAGGGGGGGTCGCTTTGGTTTACCGAGCCTCCATCACTCTCACGGGACTTCCTGTCCCTTCGAGACCAGGGCTGGAGTGTCTCTACTTGGTGTTGGGCGACCGAGACAGATTGGGGATTCTGTTGGTGTACCGTGCACCCTTCTGCCCAGCAGTCTCCCTATCTGAGCTGACAGAGACCGTCTCGGACCTGGTGTTGAGGACCCCCAGGATGTTGGTCCTGGGGGACTTCAATCTCCATGCCGAGTCTGGACTGACCAGGGCGGCTCAGGACTTCATGGCCTCTATGACGGCCATGGGCCTGTCTCAACACGTCATCGGCCCGACCCATGAACGTGGGCACACTCTGGACCTGGTTTTCTCGACGGGGCAGGAAGAGGGTGGTCTGAGGGTGAGGAATTTATGCTTGACTCCCCTGTCATGGTCAGATCACTTCCTAGTGAGGTTTGTGCTCAAGAGCGGCCTCTCCCTCTGTAAGGGTGCAGACCTGATTGTGTGGGTCCGCCCCCGGAGCCGGATGGATCCAGAAGGATTCCTGAAGGCTCTGGGGGAGTTTCCGGCTGACAAGACGGGTGCTCCTGTCGAGGCTCTGGTCGAACTGTGGAATGGGGAGATGACCAGGGCTGTGGACACGATCGCTCCTAAGCGTCCTCTCCCACCGGGCAGAGCCCGCTCTTCCCCTTGGTACACTCCAGAATTGAGGGCAATGAAGCAGGTTGGGAGACGGCTAGAGCGTAGGTGGAGGAAATCACGGGATGAATCTGACCGAACACACTTAAGAGCCCACTATCGGGCCTATGCTGTGGCGGTGAGGGCGGCGAAAAAGAGACACTTCTCCGCTTCCATTGCCTCCTCACAATGCCGTCCGGCGGAGCTCTTTCGAGTGGTGCAAGGCCTGGTTCACCCAGGGCCAAAGGAAGAGCTGATTCCACCCTCAAAGGCCCGCTGTGACGACTTTGCCGAGCATTTTAGGGAGAAAATCGCTCAGATTCGTCACGAGCTGGATTCCACTATTGATTCAGAGGTTTTAAGGGAGACACCAACGCTGCCGTCTGGTCCAGAATTATTGGATGAATTTCAGTTATTGCGGCCCGATGATGTGGACAAGGTGCTTGGACGAGTACGTCCTACCACTTGCCTTTTGGACCCTTGCCCGTCTTGGTTAATAAAGGATTCCAAGCACGGGATTGGAACCTGGATCTTGGAAGTGGTTAACGCTTCTCTGAGGGAGGGTCGGGTGCCTGCCCCTTTAAAGGAGGCGGTAGTCCGACCAGTCCTGAAGAAGGCGTCACTGGATCCAGGGATGGCCGCTAACTATAGACCAGTGGCCAACATCCCGTTTCTGGGCAAGGTGTTAGAGCGAGTGGTGGCGGGACAACTCCAAGCACTCTTGGATGAAACTGATTATCTGGACCCATTTCAGTCCGGCTTCAGACCCGGGTACGGTACTGAATCTGCCTTGGTCGCCCTGTACGATGACCTGTGCAGGGAGAAGGACAGGGGGAGTGCGTCCCTGTTGGTTCTCCTGGACCTCTCAGCGGCTTTCGATACCATCGACCATGGTATCCTTCTGGATAGGCTGGCGGGATTGGGGGTCGGAGGCACCGCTTTGCGGTGGTTCCGCTCCTATCTCAACGACCGATTCCAGAAGGTGGTGTTGGGGGACTATGGCTCTGCGCCATGGCAGCTTTGCCATGGGGTACCGCAGGGTTCCATTTTGTCCCCTTTACTGTTCAATATCTACATGAAACCGCTGGGAGAGGTCATCAGGAGGTGTGGGCTGCGGACCCATCAGTATGCTGATGATACCCAGCTCTACCTCTTGTTTTCCACCAATCCAGGTGAGGCAGTGGCTGTACTGAACCGGTGCCTGGCCGAGGTAATGGGCTGGATGAGGGCCAATAAACTGAAGCTCAATCCAGACAAGACGGAAGTCCTGTTGGTTGGCGGTTCGGGCTTCGGAGAAGGTGACCTGAACCTTGTCCTGAATGGGGTTGCACTCCCTCCTAGGGACAAGGTCCGCAGCTTGGGAGTGCTCCTCGACCCGGAGCTTTCACTAGAAGCTCAGGTGACAACAGCGGCGAGGAGCGCTTTCCTCCAGCTTCGGCTGATTCATCAGCTGCGCCCCTACCTGGAGTACGACTGCCTTGCAACAGTGACTCATGCGCTGGTGACTTCCCGTCTTGACTTCTGTAACGCGCTCTACGTGGGGCTACCCTTGAAGACGGTCCGGATACTTCAATTGGTTCAGAATAGAGCTGCCAGGCTGCTGACGGGGACTGGACGTTATGTTCACATGACGCCAGTTCTCCGTCAGCTTCACTGGCTCCCCATTGAAGTCCGGGCCCAATTCAAGGTGTTGGTAATGACCTATAAAGCCCTAAACGGCTTGGGTCCTGGTTACCTGAAGGAGCGCTTACATCCATATTTGCCCAGTCGCCCCCTGAGATCGGCGGGAGAGGCCCTTCTCCGGGAGCTCCCCGTGAGAGAAATTAGGAGGGTGGCTACTCGGAGAAGGGCTTTCTCAGCGGTGGCGCCTAAGTTATGGAATGCGCTCCCCAGGAGGTCCGCCTGGCGCCGTCGTTATTTGTTTTTCGGCGCCAGGCTAAGACCTTTTTATTTAAGCAACATTTTAAATGCTAAATACAATTGAATTTTATCTGGCCAGGGCGGCTTATTTTATAATGTGTGTTTTAATTAAGATTATTTTATATGGATTTTAGCTTATTGTTTTATCTATGTTGTAAGCCGCCCCGAGGCTTCGGCGAATGGGGCGGCATAAAAATGTTTTAATAAATAAATAAATAAATAAATAAAGCTTTTCCTGATGTCCAGCCTGAATCTGGGTTGATTCTGCAACTTGAGTTGATTATTCTGTGTCCTACACTCTTCATTCTTATCTTCATTCTGTCTCCTGGGGTGTTTGCTATTCCACCCAGTTTTGTATCGTCTGCAAATTTGATTATCTTTAATCAAATGATTTTACTTCCTCATCCAAATCATTAATAAAGACGTTGAAGAACACTGGTCCAGGACTGTGCCCACCCCACTGGTTGCCTCCATCCAATCTGAGAAGGTGCCATTGATGGTCACTCTTTGTGTCCGATCCAGCAGCCAATTTTGGATCCACCTAATAGTTTTCCATCTAGTCCAGTTTTTGCTAATTAGCTTATCAAAATGTTGAGTGGCACCATGTCAAAAGCTTTGCTAAAGTCTAGGTAGATTATGTCCACAGTGTTTCTTCTGCCCATTTGGGAAGTTACCCAGTCAAAACATGAAATTAAATTAGTCTGACAGGATTAATTTTTGATAAATTCATGGTGGCTTCTATTAATCACTCATTTTCTTCAAGATCCTTGCAGACTGAATTTTTAATAATTTGCTCCAGAATTTTTCCAGGGATTGAAGTCAGACTAACTGGTCTATAATTCCCAGGTTCATCTTTCCCCCGCTTTTTGAAGATAGGGACAACATTAGCCCTTCTCCAGTCATCTGGCACTTCTCCTGAAGATAATAGCCAGTGGTTCTGAGAGTTCCTCCGCTAGCTCTTTTATGACTCTGGGATGGAGTTCATCAGGCCCTGGAGATTTGAACGTGTTTATTCCATCTAGGCATTCCTTGACCATGTCTGTCAATCTTGGGCTGCCATCTCTCACTTTCAGCTTGTACTTCCTCTTGGTTGTAGATTTCCTTGTGGGAGCAGACTGAGGCAAAGTAGGAATTGAGCGCCTCTGCCTTTTCTTTGTCATCTGTTATCACTCTGCCATCCACTTTAAGTAGCTGGACACCTTTCTCTTTCTCATGTCTTTTGTTCTGGATGTATCTGAAGAAGTTTTTCTTGTTGTTCTTAGCATCCCTTGCTATTCTCAGTTCATTTCCTGCTTTAGCCTTCCTGATTCCATCCCTGCAACTCCTTGCTTTTTGTGTATACTCTTCCTTTGTGGCCTTGCCCTGCTTCCACTTCCCATACATGTTCTTTTTCTTTCTTTCATTCAGGCTGTCACTTGACTTTTTGTGGAGCCATGTGGGCTTCCTCTGCTGTCTTCTACACTTTTTCTTGATGGAATTGTTTGTAGTTGTGCTTGGAGATTCTTCTTTTTCCAGATTTCCCACCCTCTTGGGCTCCTCAAGGGTGTGTTGCCATGGCACTTTACTTACCATTTTTCTAAGTTCATTAAAGTTGGCTTTCATGAAGTCCAGGATGCGTGTTCAGCTCCAGTTACTCTTTGTCTCTCTTATAATTGAGAATTCAAGTATCACATGGTCCCTTTCCCCCAGAGTTCCCATGGTTGTTATTTTGTCCACCAGACCATCCCTGTTAGTATTAAATCAAGGATACCTGCTCCTCTCATACCTTCCTCTACTTATTGCTGGAGAAAGTTTTCAACAAAGCATGTCAGGAATCTCTTGGAAGGGCCATGCTTGGCAGAACTTGTCTCCCAGCATACATCAGAGAAACTGAAGTCCCCCACGATGACTTCATCATTCTTCCTGGAAATGCTGGCAAGTTGCTTTTCGAAGGTTGCATCCTTGTCCTCTTTTTGACTGAGTGGTCAGTAATAGATGCCAATAACTGTTTTTATTATTTTTCACTCCCTTTAAATTAAGTCAGATGCTTTGAATGGGGCTACTAAGTTCCTCTTGTATTTCTGTGCAGATATATGTGTCTCTTATGTATAGTGCAACTCCGCCTCCCTTTTTGTCTTTTCTGTTTTTCTAAAACAAAGCCACCCTTTTGCTTACCCACCCTAATACTAGCATGCAGCCTTTGCACAGGATTTTAAAAGATGTAATACTTGGCAAACCAGAGCTGGGGGGGAGGGGGAGTGAGCAAGCGAGCAGACTTTTGAACAGTTTACTCATCAGTTAATTAAAAATCCTTTCTTAAAGACAAATTGATATAACCAGAAAGAGATACAATACCCACTCTTCCATCCTGTAATAGTCATCAAACTTCTAAGCACCTAGTGTTATGTGAGCTTGCAGAATTATACCGTTCTATACCATTTAACCAAATACAGTATCTTTATTGGTAGAACACAGAATGAAAAAGGCATCTGTAAGTGAAGGCAAATAATAAAACAAAAATGTTAGCTTCTCTATTCTGGGCATTAAAGTCATGAAGCTGATTTAACTAAGAATCAGTACACAAAGCATGAAAGGCCAGTTTTTTAAATCAGATTGGAGATTTCTTTTTTCTCTTTTTTGCTATAAGAATCATACAATCCTATACAAGATACTTTTGGGGAAGTGGCTTCTACTGTGTTCGGCAGGCCTTGCTGCAGATGGGATTGTGCAAGATTACAGCTTAAGGCTTAAAAGGCTCCTTCCACAGTGCTGTGATTCTCTGCTCAGCAGCCCTTCTAACCTGAGGGAACCCGGACAGGTGCCAGTGGAGCAGAAACAGGCCATGGAGGAACAGGAGGGGAAAGCTAAATCTGCAAATTCCCTGCCACAGACTATTATAGTTGGTAACCTGTATAAATGGTAAGTTGAAAACTGCAAGATTTCTCTAAATGTATCTTAATACTTATCCTAGTATTGCTTCCAGTGGTTGGGAATCTTCCAAGATCTTGGGAATCTTCAGTGGTTGGGAATCTTCCTTCCAAACTAAAGCCCATCCCCTCCCCACCTGCCCTGCCAGCAACAAAGGAAAACTCCTGCATGATCAGGTAGCCATATCTTGTGCCTGCTTAGTAGCAACTCCATCCTGTCTCAGTCACACTTCTTGCTTGGACTTGGCAGACACTCCAGCTGCTGTAAAAGCACCCTGTTGCTTGAAGGAATGCAGTTTATTTGCCATGAGGTGCCAGTGGATGAATGGTGTCCAGCCACCTGCCACTGGGTTGAGCTCTGAACTGCAGCAAAGATGCCTTCGTAGCATTGATTCTGCCAGGGCTTGGCGAGAGAGGAATCTGCAACGACCTTGGCCTCGTGTGTCCCAGAGCCGTTCCAGGCTTGCCTGCTTTCCAATGGGCCATCCTCATTTTCGGCAGAGGAACAAGTAGACGCCACCAAAGATGACCGCAACCAGCAAAGGCACCAGCACAACCAGTGCTACAATCCAGTAGTGAGAATTCTCTGCAATAGATAACCAGACATTAGGTGACAGTACTTACAGAAGCACAAGAAAGCAAGGCCCAGGACCATGGAGGGCAACTATGTCCATGGCTGACTGAATTGCAGGATCAGGCTGAGCATTCTTTGTTCCCCCAACAGCTTCCAGTCAGATGCCTCTGAGAAGCACACCAGGGAAAGAGAGACGTGGTAGACATCTCCACGTTTGCTTCTAGAAAACAATGGGAATACTGAGGCACACAAAATTATACAGACCCACTTCATAGAACACTGCAGCCCATTTTGGGCTAATTAATTTCTGGGCCACACAGAATATGCCAGGTGCTATTATGAATACATAGCCTTATGTCTTGCGAAATTGGTCAGGGAGATGTAGGTGAAAGTGAACGCTTGAATGATCTTCCCTGGCTGGATCAAGGCAGGGGTTGCACAGCAGACAATGGGTTATGCAAGGGTTGTTTCACTCTCTAATAATCTAGAGTCTGTTTTAGAGCTGCACAACTTTTGAGAAGCCACAAATGGGCATGAGTGGAAGAAGAAGAAATACAAAGTTGGAAAACAAAGGTGGAGAGCCATGTTTTTCCTACCTTCAAACAGGATGTCAACCGATGCTGAATTCTTGCCATAAACGTTACGCACCACGCAGTGGTAAGTCCCATTATGGGATCTTTGAGCTTCACGGATTATTATTGTCCTATTGCTGTCTGAGAACTCCACTTGAGCTTCAGAGGGGAGGTCCCATGAAAACTGTGGAAAGGGCTTTCCTTCAGCTTTACAGGTCACTGTGAGGTTTGCACCAGCTTTGTATGACATGTGACCTGTCGAGATGCTGATATTGTAAGGTCTGCCTGCAATAAGGAACAAGGGAGTTGATATGCTGCAGAAGCATGGCTGTCCCTGCATGGGAATGGCAGACAGCCGCACAGGGGCACAGGGAAACCCACCGCAACTTTCAGGTGTCCTTCTGGAGACAGAAGGCCCGGTACTGGAGACAGCTTGACAGCGCTTTCATTGCCCAGTCATTGGGGCACTGCTGTCTAGGGGTTCTCTGATGTACTTAAAATTAAGCAGCTGTGAGAGACCTTCGAAACCTCAGAAGCAGCCATTCCAGCCATGACACCGGAAATAAGCATTACCACACCATGGTGCCGACTGAGGTCAACATAAGCCCCACAATGCCACATCAAACAAAGGAGCAGTGCTTAGTCCATTATATCCTGCTGTCCTTTAACTCTGCTGAGCCCCAAGAACCAAACTAAGAGGATCCCACTTGTCCGATGTCCCATCATAGACAAGGAGAGTAAAGAGAGCCTGGCTGAACGGCTGGACTCATAGACTGCTGGTTTCTTGGCATGTTTCTAGAGAGCTAAAGGTGATATGGTGAAGACTGATGGAGCAGGCATATGCCATAACAGTTTCATTATTCAAGACTCTCTCTTGTTCTTGCTCGCAATATGCACACTCATCGCACAATAGTCAAACAGATTTTGCAGGGTTTTGTAAGTCTTCAAATACCTGCACACCCACAAAGAGGAAGGAAAAGATCTCTTTTCACTCATCCCTGAGTGTAGGACTGGAATAATCAATTCAAGCTGCAACAATCCAGATTCAGGCTAGATATCAGGAAAAGTTTCCTCACTGCCAGAGCAATATGACAGTGGAACCAGCTGCCTAGAGAGGTGGTGGGTTCTCCCACCCTAGAGACATTCAAAAAGAAACTGGCCAGCCACCTGAGTGGGATGGTGTAAGTGGTTGTCCTACACCAGCAGGGGGTTGGACTCGACGGCCTGCTTGTCTCCTTCCACCCCTGCTGCTCTATGAATTGATGGAACAGGGGCAGCAACAGGCCAGAGTGCACAGTGGCTGGATCACATTCAGCTTTCCTAAGAAATTATTGTCACCCTCTGACCTGTGAACCTCACTGCCCTCCATTTGCCAGAGCAAATGTTCAGAAAAAAACATGTGCCTGACTGCTCCCAACATGGCCCTTTGACATTGCAGGCAATAGGCAAAGCTCATCCACTGTCCTGCCAAGGGAACTCACCCACGATGCCCAAGGTTGTGTTTGTACTCTTTTCCAGCACTTCTGAGCCCACCTGGACATTGGCCACACAGAGGATCTCGGCTCCATCATCCTGCTGCAGACTGGGTACAAAGTTGTATTCCACCAACTGGCTGCTGTAGCTACTGTTCAGGATATCACCACCTCTGCTCAGGGTGATGTTGATGTTACTTGAGATGTTGTCTCGCACTTTCAAGCTAGAGATGTTGCACAGGATCCTCTCATGGCGGCCATCCACAATCTCAGAAGGCACATGGATAGCCGGAGTGGAGAATCCTACAGTAGGAGCAACAAAGTTATGGTTAACGAGCACTTGGGAAGGTTACTGGGCTTGGTGGGGCTTGGACCCCCAGCAATGCCACCAGTAGCTCATGGAGTCTGAAACTTCCATACAGGATGAAAGCGATGGTGGAGGTTGGCTGAACAGTCTGTGACAGGTGAATTCACGGCATGTGGATTCAGTGGGTCAAGCCCAGCTTATTTGGATTTCCAGTGTGGGCGATCCAAATGTCTCTGGCAGGACACAGTCTCTTGGGGGCTTCTCCACAAAGATGTTACTGTGTCACGTCTGTTCTTTCCAAGGAGGCCCCCCTGGCTCAGGTCCACCTCTCTTGCCCAGTTTGCCACCTGAGAGGGCTGCTCAGTATACCTTCGCTATGAGCCACCTCACTTTTTGGGGAAACAGCATACACATGAGGTTGCTTTTAAAAAAGAAAGTGGATCTCCACATCTAGAGAAGCAGTGCTCTGGCAAAGCTTGAACACCTTGCAACCCAAGGCGAACCAGCCTACCGACCTTGAATAGCAGCCCCCAGGGACTCAAGGAAACTTCTGATTTCAAGAGGCCAAATATGTGTGAAATCCATGCACAAATACCCATTTTTAAAAATTGAAAAGCCACTTCTGGGGCTTAGACTGGGAGTTGAATAACGGCAAGGTCAGGGGCTGTTTAACTCCTTTCGATCATTTTATGCTTCACAAATATTCTGCCCAGCTGCTTCTCCCACATATAGAGGAGAAGGTCTAGAGTCCTGCCTTGTGGGAATAACAGCACTTTATGGAAGACATTTAAAAAAAAAACTTTATTTATTTAGAGCTTTTTCACATTTGCTGAGATACACACTGTGAACCAAATGGGTTTTTTTTTAATGCAAAGCTTTTCATTACTTGCATTTATATTGCAGAGCTAGACAAAGGATCAGTCCACATGATTAAAGAGCCCACCTATGGGGAACTGTGTTGGCTGCATCCTCCATATTCAGCCCTGATTGGGAGTTGGCTTATCATGTGGGTTGCATGAGGTTACATAAACAGCCCTCACACAATCCCTTCTCTGTTGCATAACTCGAGTGGTCCGGTTTACATGATACGGCAACCTCCAGCTCAGGTCCAAATGAACAAAATAGCATCTAGCATGCACTGTAGCCTCACCAGAGCTAAAACACCCACCTGTAGGGTGTTGTGCCATGAGAACCAGGCCAAAATCTCACTGCAACCAGCAGAAAAGAAAAAAAAATGCAGGTGCTGCTTTATGCCCATGAAAGCTAGCAGAACTCTTGTTGGGTCTGAAGGTTTCTAATAACTGATGTATTTAATATGATCTGTAGCCCTAAATCAAACACTTTGGTCCATAGTGCATACCTACCAAATATTGTGGAATGGCTTTGAATGCAGGAAGGGTGATTTTGAGAGGCAGGCAAAGAGAGGACCCTCCCACACCATTCTTCCACTGAAGCTGGCACGTTCCACCTGGCTGCTTTTTTATTAAAACAACTAGGGTGGCCATACATCCTATTTTGCTGTCTGTGCACAAGTCCTCTGCGTGGGCCCAAGAGCTGCCCACCCCAAGCCTGGGATAAAGATGAGGAACTGTAAGGTAGCAGCCCAGTGGCCATAGAGTAACCCAGCCAACAGCACTTGGGCTGCAGACCGAGCAAAGTGAACAAGCCAGCTAGTTACAGATGTCCCCAAAATGGGAAGGTGCACATCCTGTTTTTTGCTGATACCTATCCTCTGATGAAGCAGCCACCCCAACACCACCACTCTGGGAAACTGCTTTTCCTGCATATTGTTTGCTTGGTCCTATGATCAGAGAAATAAGGCAGAGTGCCAGGGCTCGGGCAGGCCACTACTGACTGCTACTAGACTGTGGGAGATGGGCGGCAGGGGAGGTGGGGAGAGACTGGCACAAGAGGTGCAGGTTGCCTGGCCTAAGGAATAGGGCCCGCAGGCAATCATAGCATGGTGCCACCTCCTCCTACCCCTCCTACAGTTGTGTATGCCACTGCTGTAGCGGAAGAATGAGCAAACCCACCCAACACCCTTAGCAGATCCTTTGGACTGGTGACAAGGCATGTCGCCAACAATCCTGTGAGCTAGAAAGCGGAAGTGCTTGCTTCCAATCATGAGAAGTGGAAGTGCAAATTAATCAGAACCGTTTCTGGCTTGACTGGGAGTAGCAGGATTGGGCTGGCAGGAGTAGGAGGCTCTGCTTGGCAGTGGTTCCGCTTCTATCTGGCCGGTCGATTCCAGAAGGTGGTGCTGGGGGACTATAGCTCTGCGCCATGGCAGCTTCGTTTTGTCCCCCATGGGCTCTGTTTTGTCCCCCATGCTTTTCAAAATCTACATGAAACTGCTGGAAGCGGTCATCAGGAGGTTTGGGCTGTGGAATCATCAGTACACTGATGACACCCAGCTCTACCTCTCGTTCACATCTAATCCAGGTGAGGCAGTGGCTGTCCTGAACCAGTGCCTGGCTGAGGTAATGGGCTGGATGAGGGCCAACAAACTGAGACTCAATCCAGATGAGATGGAGGTCCTTTGGTGGGCAGTTTGGGCTTTCAGGTAAGTGATTTTGGTCCTGTCCTGGACAGGGTTGCACTCCCTCTAAAGGACAGGGTCCTCAGCCTAGGAGTGCTCCTCGCCCAGAGCTGTCCCTGGAGGCCCAGGTGATGGTGATGGCCAGGAGTGCTTTCCTTCAGCTTTGGCTGATCCATCAGCTGCATCCTTACCTGGAGGAGAACTGCATAGCAACAGTGACACACGTTCTGGTAACTTCTTGGTTGGATTATTGTAACATGTTCTACATGGGGCTGCCCTTGAAAACGGTCTGGATACTTCAATTAGTACAAAATAGAGCTCCCAGACTGCTGATGGGGGCCGGTCATTATTCTCATATAACATCAGTCCTCTACCAGCTACACTGGCTGCTGATTGAAGTTCGGGCCCAATTGGTGTTAACTTATACGTGCTGGTGTTAACCTATAAAGCCCTAAATGGCTTGGGACCAGGATAGCTGAAGGAACGTCTCCTTTCCTATATGCCCCATGCCCCTTAATATTGGCGGAGAGGCCTTGCTCCAGGAACCCTCACTGAAGGAGGTAAACAGGGTGTCTACCTGGAGGAGGGCCTTCTCTGCTGTGGCGCCCAGATTGTGGAATGTGCTCCCCAGAGAGGTTCACCTGGCACCAACTTTATACTCTTTTCGGCACCAGGTAAAAACCTTTTTATTTAACCATCATTTTAAGAACTAAGGATTTTAGATGTTTTAAGATTACAGTCACATTTTCTTTCTTTTTGCTTTGCTAAATTATGAGTGTTATTTATTTATTGCTTTGTTATTTATTGTTTTAATTATTGTATTACTATTGCAGATTGTAATTTTATTATTATTACTGTTTTTAATTATTGCAAGCTGTCTGGAGACGTTTTATTGGGAAGGACAGGGTAAACATGTTTTGAATGAATATAGGTGCCTGACTTAGAAACCAAAAAATATCACATGTAATGCAGGCATTACTAACCTGGAACAGGACGGAACACCTAGGAAGGTCTGCACAATTCTGTTAATAGGATTTATGCAGGAGAATATTCTGGCAAGGTGAAGGTTGGACCAGTTGTCTGGGAAACAGAGAGCACTGGTAGCCTCCCAGTGAAACAAGTAGCCCAGGAGACAGTCACTGGAACCTTGGTATCAGTCAGCCTTACTGAAAGGATGGGCCCCCTGCTGCCTCCTGATCTCCACTCCAGGAGGAGAGTGGGATTTTGAGCAAAGCTTCAGGTTGGAACTGCCTGACCAGTGGCACACACGGGGCCTTGTTTCCCCATCCCGAAAATTAGGTTTGACTGAGGAAGGGTAGGACTCCCTGCCCTCCAGGTACCACTCAGCTGTGAGATTCTGCAAATACTTACGGTAAACATAGACCCTCGCCTTCTTCAAGGTTTCAGGCCCTGCATTTTTGACCAAGCATAAAGGTTGAAAGTTCCATTCCGTCACACTGGCGACGTTCAGAGAAATCCATCCCTTTCCCTCCTCCTTCAGTCCTTGAAGAGACACCTCCCAGTCCATTTTATCGTGATTGGCACACGATGAAGTGCAATTCAGAATCACAGGACCCCCAAACTCCACTGCAAGCTCCTGAGGGTGGATAGTCACTTTGCAGGGGTGCACTGCAAGAGGAAAGGAGGAGCACAGGTGAGCAGGGAAGAGCAGAAGAGGAGACGGGCTCTGGCCACCCCAGCCGGGGCACTGCTCCATCATTGCACTGCAACAAGGCTCACTTGCCACCCAGAGACATGGAAACACTCTGGACTTATACCCACTATGAACTAGTCCAAAGCAGGCCAACTTTGGAGGGGGACATGCTGCTTGTCCCCCACAAAATGGATCCATTTGTCCTCAGTCTTTCCATAGAAGGAAAACACCTGGGTGGAGAGAGGCAGGAGGGAGGGAGAGGAAGGAAGCTGTAAATAGAAACATAGAAACAGAGTGAGTCAGGCCTCCTGGGACATCTGGTCTGACCCTCTGCTCCAGCCGGCTCCACTCACAACATGCCTACCATGTGCATGTCTAGCCTTTTTGTGACTGGCAGCTTCCAGTCGCAATCCTCGCATCCCCCTGCCTTAGTGAACTTTCTGCAACTTTGCTGCCAATTGAGCTGAAAACAAATGATGTCATAAACTTCTTCATTCATCATAACCTCCTGGTGTTGCACCTTTCTTTCCAGAATTCTTTAGGTTTCTTGCCATATGCATATCTGACATATGCTACTTTCACACAGGTTGTCAAAAGCCATGGAGTGGGGTAAAAAAAAAAAAAAGGATGCCTTTTCCTCACCAAACCTGACCACTTCCACAAAAAATCCTGCATCCTTCTGAATTTGATTTTTTTTAATCTAGGCATCTGTGCTGTGTATCATTTGTATAACAATCACCCACAAAAATGGGGGTATGTGCATCCTATTTTGCATACTGCCCCCCACCAAAGTGTAAAAGCTGCTTCTGCATGAAAACCCTCACTTCATTCATCTAAAGCATTGTACCTGATACCCTCAGCCAGCACCTTTATCTCTGCAAATTTCATTCCCTTTGGTGGAGAAACAAAAGAGTGTAGCAAGTTCCCTTGCTAAATCAATCAAAATGTAAAGGCGCCTCACACAAAAGTCCCTGCTCCTATTTTCTCAGGGTACCTAACACAAAACTCTGCACATTTTTATTATTTATTTTATTTTATACTGCCCAATAACTGAAGCTCACTGGGTGGTGAATAACAGCAATATAAAATCAAACAGAAATAAAGCCATCAAACAGTTTTAAACTACTTTTTAATAGCAAAACTAAAGCCAGTCCAACCTGGCACTGACAAGAGAGTATAGCTGGTGCCAGGTGAGCCTCAGTGAGGAGAGCATTCTATAATCTGGGGCTACCACTGTGAAGGCCCTCCTGCATGGAATAGCCCACCAAGCCTCCCTTGAATGTGACATTCAGAGGAAGCCCTCCAATTTTGATTGTAGTGACTTTATATATTGTGGTTGAAAGCAGCCCATGTTGGTGATGCAGAACTGGCATTCTTAACTGGACACTGATCCATAGCATTGGTGGGTCAGCATGGTAAAGCTGAACATGTGAAGATTTCCGTGGCTTGCACCCATCACCATTTTCTATGCAGGCAGCAGGCAAGGATGGAGAAAGGATCTGAGGCCGCTCAATATTGTCCTAAAAGGGGCATGAAGTGTGCCCCAGGTGCTAATGTGGGCCATCTGCCTCCCAAACGTGGTGAGGGGAGAAAGGGAGGCGATGGCGTGCCTCACTCAAATAAACACTTGGTGGTTACTTCCTGTGACACCGTGTTTACTGCTACTGGAAACCGGAGAGCACAACTGGACCTACATTCTAACAGCCTCCTCCTGGCCAAAAAGGTGAAAGGTCAGGGTAGGCCAAGAGAAAGAGGAAGCAGCTTGTCTGAGTCAGCCCAAGGGCAGGAAAAGAGAGAAATCAGGAATCATCCTTTGGCTCCCAATCAATTAACAGCAGCCTTACCAGCCCCCATAGCACGAATGTTCCTGGCATCTATGCTATTTGTTTCCTTCTGCTATTGCTGCCCCTCCATGTCAGGAAATAATGCACACTTTAAAATCCCAAGGTGCCGCTGCTCACAGAACATTCCTTCAATAAGGAACTGCAGAGTCCCAGCCAGTGTGGGGAGAACTGGGCTGGCCTCAAGGGCAGATGCAAGGTGCTCCAGAGTCAGAGCCCCAGCTCCTAACTTTCCGCTGGCCGTCTAGACAGCACCTAGAGGTCCCAGGAATCCACGTGCAATTGCCTACAGGAAAGGCCAAAGCAGATGTGACAGGGGAGACATGGGAAGTAACTCCTGATATTTTGTCATGCTGGTTTCTGCTGGTTTGTTTTCTCTTATCACTTAATGTGGTCACAGGGGGTCCCTGGATTTCACCAGAGCAGGAAGTGGGGAAGCATTGACTTGCAGGCCACTTTTTTCAGGCAAAAACCTGCACAACCCCACACCCACGCCTGACAGAATCCAAGAGAGCGTTTGCCTCTACCAGTCTTTTTTGGTCAAGTGAGGCTCACAATCAGCAAAATGGAGATCCAGTGCTTCTCAGAGCAATGGGAAGTGGGTGGGAGCCTCTGTTTATGGAATGGAGCATGGCAGCAGAGCTCACATGGGGAAACTGCTGCCTGGTAGCAATCCAGAAGGGGCCCTTGCTGTGTTGTGCGGGCAGCAGGTCCTGCCCACAGGATGGAACTGGCAGCAGCTGTGCAGGTGGAAACCCCCCTGGTGCTGCATGCACACCATGCACACCTATCTTTTGCCTGTCAAAAAAAGAAGCACCATGTTCAGCTTCCACTGACTGATGCATCATTAAAAAAGGCCCTTTGTGTTTTTGGCACAAACTGAGAGCTCCAAAGGAAGGAGGAATTTCTGCCCGCCCTTCCTCCCAGTTGTCTGAAGTTCTAATCTGCATGGTGTTTCTCTGGGCCACTGCAGTTCTCAGAGGAAATAGCTGCTGGAGACCTCAGATTAACTCCTCGCAGGGCAGGGCTTCCTGTCTCTGCTTCCAGATCCTAGTGCCCGACACAAGAGGCCCTGGGGAGCAGTGCCTCCTCAGCCCTCAGGTACTTTACTGAGATGGGAGAAATTAAAAGTGGACCTGCAGCCAAGTGTTGCCTCTTGCCCTGTGGAGTGCCCCTTGTAGCCACCCCCTCCCAAGCTTCCATCTCCCCCAGATCCATGGCTGTGCCCAATAAGGATGCTCAGTGCGCTTTGAGAGGCTTCTCCCACTGATGGGACCCACATGGCAATGGCACAGATCCACCCCCCTGCTGGAGAGAGGGAGGCCCTTCAAAGGAGGCCCTGGACATACCCGCAGAGGCCTGAAGGGAATGCACAGGGCTGAATAGCACCCAGAGACGGATTAATTTAAAGGGTTTTAAGAGATACTAGTGGCATGATGATGATGATGATGATTAGGAAGAGGAGGAGGAGGAGGAGATTAGTATTGATGAAACATGTTTATACAAATCTGAAGAATACAGAAGGTTTATTGGAAAATATAGAGAGTTGATTAAATAGATTGATTGATACATAGAAAGAAGATCCCAAGCCAGTGTGGTTAATATACTAAAGAGGTAAATACTAAATAATCATAGCAACATTACAAAAGAAGCTATTATTAAACTATTAAAACAGCAAACAAATCAATCAGTTGACATTATGAATGCAAAATTCCAGGGCACAAAGGGACCTTTCTGCATTGGCAAAGAAACATATATGAAAGAATATCATATAATAAAGATAGCACTTCTGGGCATGTGCAGAATATATTCCTCTTACTGCTGAGCAGCTTGTCCTTACACATTAAGGCTCATAGTACAGATTAGAAATTCCTTTCAGAACAGAAATTAATCAGTGCCTATTGTCAATGTTTTGAGAACAAAATATTATTTTGAAACGTGCAAAGGTTGTAGGCTATGGTAGTGCTCATGTACCTTTTCTAAAGCCCTGTTTTGACAGATCTCTTTCTACCTGACTGAAAGTCCGTGCTATCATTACTGGTACTTACCACTAAAGGTAAACTTAGGACTGTTCCCACAGATTTTCATTTTCCATTAAAGAAATACAAACATCAATATGTATCTCAGTGATGCCAGCGATTTCTGCACTTTATTTCTTTCCCCCTGAGGGTGTGAGCAGAAATTCTTAGCAGCTAGGTAGAAGGAGGTCTGACCAAAATGTCTGCAGTTTAATGGAATAAAGCACTGGAATAGTAAAATCAGTTGCTTCTGTTTTTACTTTACATGCTAATTACAAAATGGTCCTCCATACCTGACATCCTCCTCAGCAATCCTGGATATGAAACAGCCCTCCCGCGTGGTGGGGGTTAGGGAGTTCCATTGAAGGTGGCAGAGGGAGAAAGCAAAGGCTCACCCATGGCAAACCACCCACTAAGCTTGTGCATGCCTGTTCAGTCCCCATTGGACTGAATGGGAGCAGTGAATTTCCTTCAGGAGGGCTCTTCCGCAAGAACATCCCGGAGGACTATCCATTCATATTCACCAGCCTGCACAAAGAATGCTGCTTGGATATTATGCTATAATATATTATAATTTTGTATTGGGCTCCAAATTGTCTTGTGCCGGATCTGCCTAAGAATTATTAGCTCCAATCCAGAATTAAGCCAAAACCTTTGGACATAATGAGCTGGTTTGCACATAAAGACCAAACATGGGTTAATTAACCTAGAGTTTGACAGGGCTGAGCAAGCGCAAACTCTTTGCTTCCCAGTGAGACACCTCTTCCGCTTTGTATCCAGTTCAGCAATACAAGTTTAACATCTGGCTGTTTACCAAGAGAATCCAACCTGGCACTCTGGATTATTGAGGGAAGCAGTAATCCAGCAAGAAACCATGAGATTCTTTTTAAAAACAGTGATACTTTTTGGATGCTCTTTCAGAGCAGCACCCTGTGCAATGCACCAGAGTAATCTTGCCTTTGATGTTTCCAGGCCATGGATAATCTGGCCAAGCCAAGGCCAAATTTTATGACATCCTCCTTCAGGGTTTAATTCAATCATATTGCACAGAACCTCCTGACTACCACAATGGGCAAAGCAACTGCATATGTGCCACTTCCAGCTTTACACCGCTTTTGTATGCTTAGATTTTAATAGTAAAGATGCCTTTAAACAAGAACCAACAGGACATCTATGCAGGGCTATTTCTTTTGCATGGGCCAACACCGGTAACACGTGGTTGTTGAATCCTGGGGGAAGTGAAGGAGTCTCTGCAGGGGTGGGGGGCAGCAGCATCCAAGCCCCCCCAGCCCACATGCCCCTCTGCTTCTGGGAGGCCATGCGTGGAGGGGCAGGTCAGCACTTCACTGAGTGGTCCTCAGAGCAAGGCCGGAATTTTTCAGAGCTCTATCAGGAAAGCAGCTCTTGTGTGCGGGAGGATGCCCTGCACTGCTCTCCGGCGCACCAGCTACCCTGTGGCTCATTCGGAGAACCCCCCAGAGCCAAGTGTGGGGCAGAGTAGGCTCTCTGAGAAGCTGCCCCCACTGCTTCCCTGATGCAGCATGCAAATGATGCCAATAGAAGTGATCCTCAGCAACAGGGAATGCCGTGCCCCTCTCGGATCAAACCTGCCTCCAAGTCGCTCTCGCCCAGCTGAGCGCACCTTGGAGTGCTTGCAGCTCCTCCACCCACCAGAGATAATGCACGGTGCATAGCCGGGACTCACCTACGGGCGCCCAGGAGCTGAGGGCAGCCACCGTTAGCAGCAGGACAGCCGTCATCTCAACCCAGGAGGCCCCAGGCGGAGGGAGCCTTTTTCAGCTCACTGTGTTGAACAAGACCAGTACAGAGCACTTCTGATTAAAAGCAGCTTAAGAAACAGGCATTGTCTCTATCACATCAACTTTCTGCCTCACTCCTCAGCCTGTGACCTTCTCCAGGAAGTACCCACCCACCCACGGAGCCCTGCACATGAAAACAGCCGCAGGAGGAATATCCTTTGAGCCTCTGAGGAACATTAAAGGAGGTAGCCGGTCCAAGCACGGAGGCAGTTCCCCCAGGCTCCAAAAGTTGCACAAAAGGGAGAATACCACGAGGTGCCCTTGCTCTGGGCAGGTGTTTAGGAAGAACCACATCTTCCTTCCATCTGTGCAACTCTTAAAAGTTCAGCAATGCATGCAGGTGAATGGAAAGAAAGGGATTAAATGCATGCTCGAAGATGACAAAACAGAAGGTGCTTGGACATGGGGAAAACTGTTCTTAGGAGAGCAAGACTATCTCCATAATTGTGATGACATCTATTTAAATTGGCAAAGGCAGCATGGAAACCCTGCCCTGAAGGAGCTGACTTTTTGAAAGGGTGGCTCCAGGTGAGGCTCGCCAGTCATGGGGGTGGGCACTCACAGCTTCTCCCATCTGTTCCTTAATCAGTTCACTGCTGGCTAACTCCACACCCAAGACCGCTCTGCTGCAAACGGATGGTCTACAACAGTGCATACAACAGGACAATACAATAACACAACATAAAACCATATTTTTTAAAAAAGGAGCATTCACTCATGTGAGCCCCCACATGCAGGTTGCAGTGATGGATGTAGGTTGATCACCTAGGAGAGATCAAGGCCCCTGTGTATATGCAGAATGCAATTCCTTCACCTCTGCACACTTCTCTAATTCATTACAGCAACAAGGTTGTTGCAATTTTTAAAACAATCCAACTGTTTCCATGAGATTGGACACTTTTTTATTTGTACATCACCTTTTTCACATGGAATGCAAGGTGACTTACAGATCCTCATCCTTTACCCCATTTTATCCTCACAACAACCCTGTGAGTTAGGGTAAGAGTCGGTCTGTAGATTCACATGCCACAATATGGTCTTTCACCATTGCTGGTTTGTGGTGTTCTCTGAACCTAGTCATGGTATTTCAGCATGGTACAGTTGGTCTTTAGAAACCACAAGAAGGAGCAACGCTTTCTCCATACTACCATGGCTTCTCATAGTGTCTGAACCCAGAAGTGGTTTCCATGCTTCTGCTATGAAACTACCACAGAGAAACTACCACTAGAAGGAATAGAAAAAGCAGCCACTGCAGGGGTTTCCTCAAGTGGGGAGACCTAGATTCCACACAAGCACAGACTTTACTACCACTCCAGGCAGAGGTGAAAAATACTGCAACTGGAAATGTTTTTACAGTACAGTGCTGCAGGCACTGGTGGACTCCAAAGGAAGGTTTCAGGATGTGTATGCTCGGGTTTCTGGGTGGAGTCACAATACTCCCACCTTCTGGGATTCTCCCTTGCCAAAATAACTGGAGAGAGGCATCTTCTTCCGAAGCTCCCCATGCTTATCTGCTGAAAGCCCACCTGCTCCTGATCTTTGGTGACCAGACTTCTGCTTTGCAGTCATGTTTGATGTTCGCCTGCCATATCCACAGAACAGGTAAGTAGGAGAACACCAACTTCTACCACTTCTGCATGAGATTCCCTGTGGAGCATGTCTTGGTTCGCCATTCCTGGACATCCTGCTTAATCTAGAGCAGAACATTACCCCACCTGTGATTGTGGTGTATTGCATCCTACAAAACACTTGTGAGATGTGGGGAGGCATTTTGCCAGAAGAAAAATCAGAAGTGCCTGGCCTGAGTGCTGAAAATGATGCTGTGGCATTTGACTCTGGCCCCCAATCAGCCCTGCACCCCACCACATCCTGTGAACCCCATTTCCCAACTTTAGCCAGGTGTTAGGCATGTGAGATCCATGCAGCTATTTCTCAGTAGATCTGGGAGTACCACCTTGAAAGTACCATCCCCAGGCCCACAACTTCTGTTCCAGTGCAGATGCAAGGATGCTTCCCAGTGGCAGATATGGTTGAGTGGCCTATCAGAACTCCCTGTCCTTCAGAGAAATGCACAAGAGGTGGACCTGGCCCTGGCCCAGCTGTTCTACAGCTACTTTCACAATGTAAGCATAGCAGAGGTTGGACTAACTAGAAGAAGAAAACATATTTTCTTGCCCAAAACGGAGGGAATCTCTCTGAACTTTGGCTCTGAAATTGTTTCCATTCAAAAGGAAAATAGCTTATCAAGAGATCAGAGAAACAGTTTGTCCTGGACCTTCAGAGAGCAGCATTTTGCTTCTGGCATTTAAGAAAGAGACCTTCTCTACATGAGAAGTCTAGTCTGCTCCTTTACTGAGGGTTTCTCTACACAATGCACTTCTTGTGATCTGGTGAACACTCACTCATGGGGGGCAGGAGAAAGAGAAGTTTGCAGTCAGGAAGCAGTTAAGGACCTTCCTTCCTATTCCTTCCTTATTCTCTCATGTAAACCTGCCCCCAACAACATGCTTTCAGCATCTTTCAACTTGCTTATCTGTGGTACATACTACTAAACTTTATTATTTGTTAGAACATTAGCATGTGTTTTATCCTCCTGTCAGCATTCTGTGTGGGGCAAATGCCACAATTCTTTTCACCTTGGCCTAATTATAGCAAGCCCTGCTTTAGGGGATTAGTGCCCTCATCTTGGTCATGCTGAACTTCACCTGTCTCTAAGTCAATAAAGCAAAGGTACTTACAGATGTCCTTCTTCTCCAGAGAGCAAGCTTATTTTGCAGTGCTTTCATTCAAGTGCCAAATGCATCAACAGTAAACTGTGAGCAGAAAGGAAACAGAAGTTCCTGTTCAAAACCACCAATGAGCACCAACGCCCTGGATGACTGGCTGCCCTTTCATGACAGGCTTCCTCATTTGCTTGGTAGTACCGTTGCTGGCAAAGCTGAAGTGTGCACATGCCCAAACTTCCTGCATCACTGACCCACAAAAAATTCCACCGATAAACTGACAACCATGTTCCTTCCTCTGTTTACTCTAAATGTTTGCACAGCCTCTTCCCATCATTTTAGGTGGTTGCCAGTACTGATAAGAGAGTTGCATACATTTTATAGGCCTCTAGCAAGGGACCAGCACCAAGACGTCAGAGAGGCTCCGGTCATCATGCTCTCTTGTAACCCATCCTCCGTAAGCACAACCAGCCATTTTGTCTCACTGGAGCCATGCATGGCTGGGTAGGTGGGGAGAGGGTGACTCAGCCGAACAGCAACTAGTGAGATTCACAGGAGGCCTCCCTGGCTTGACACCCTTGCTGTAGTCTCATCTTTCCGGTCACGAGGGCTGGGCTGGCAGTCATGGATGTTGCCACCCAGCACTGCTGCATCCCTTGCACAAGCCCATTGGCAACAGGGAGCATTTCCAGCAGCTCGTGAACTGGATTTGCTGAATAAGGCAACTGTGACCGAAGTTGCCCAACCCTACATGGCTGCAAGAGGCTACACGAAGAGCAGCCGTGCACGCCACATCCAGGAAGGTCCTGCAGAAAGCCTGTTGCAGCTTTGGTGAACTTTGGCCTGTGAGAGGACGTGAACAATATATTTTGAGCAAATTCCAGCATGACATTTAATTTTTGCCAAAGCATCTTATATACTGGAATGTAGAATTCACAAGAGTGGGCCCTGCTTGACTGCTACTAATCTGAGCAAAGTTTATCTTGCATTTGATGTAGTATGTGTGTTCTCTACCTGAAACTCAGTTCTAACAAGTTGAAGGTGCTTTTAGTGGGTAGTTCATTTCCCTGGCTAAGTAATGTTCACCCATTTTGGATTGTATCTGCCAAGGAACAGAAGCAGCTGGTATCTCAGAAATAGCCGTTATCCATCTCTGCTAAACTCATGTGGATTGCTACAATGCATGGGGTTGATCTTAAAACTGTTTAGAAACATCAGCTGGTCTAAAATAGGGCAACAATACTGTAATGGAGACAGGCCATGTGACTGTTATGCCAGCATTTTTTTCCATCTGCACTGGCTGCCAGCCCAGTAATAGTATTAACATCCAAAGTCCTACAAGGAGAAAGCCTCGGAAATGAAAGTAGCTACATTTTACCAGAATTGGGGCACTAATAAAGGAAAAGTAAGTCCCGAGTATTAATTGGCTTCTGTTTCCAAGATACAGCTTCAGGTACATATTGCGTCAAAATAATTCAAAATTACGAAGGGGATGTGTGATTATGCTGCATAACTTTTCTGCAAAATGTGATATAGCAATGAGAATGGTCATTTAGTTCACTCTGTGAAATTAGATGTGGTTCAGGAGGAGCATACGGTGGGCTAAAGTTTGGGTCTGCTGACATCGACAGCCCCGGATCAGTTGCGTCCTGCTCATCGTCTTTATCATCATCTGAGTCTAGAGAGTAGGATTCTGGTGGATCTGGAATTGGCAAGTCCTCACCACAAGGTACAGGACGCAGTGCGGATGGAATGTTTGCATGTTCCACGGTCCACTTCTTCTTTCTTGAGTTCCCTTTTGCAACTGGGGGAACCATGCCAAAATAGCAGTCACTACTATGATTGGTGGGTTTCCTCCACACCATTGGGACTGCGAAAAGCATGGACTTTTTCTTCTTGTTTAGCCAATGACGCAGATAAGATGAACATATAATGCAACAATAATGAGGGGCCCAACTCTTGTCCTGATCCCCTATTTTGCATCCAAAATATAGGTGGTATGGCTTTTTTTAGCACTGCCGTCATACTGCACTTTTGAGATGCAAATGTAAACTTGCCACAAATGTAGAAGCTATCTGAGGCATTGTTTACACAGTTTCGAGGCAGCTTGGCTTCTGAGGGAAAATACCATGCAACTGCTCCTTGGAAATGTTAGGCAATGACACTTTCACAGGCCACCAGATGTAACTGTATGATGTATTGTTCTGACCAAGACAAATGTACTTTGCAATAAAAGAATAAATTACAGTTAAGTAATAATCTTTGGTCTCAAAGTGAAGATAAATTTATACACTTCCATGTGGCACCATTTTCACTGTTCTACCGTACTTTGCCGAGAAGTTACGAGGCATCATGATCATCAGACATCTCCCTCCCTTGTAGGCAAATATACGTTCCTATGTATAAATCTTTATTGTGAAATATCTTGAAAATTTTAGCCAATCAGCACTTATCACCTGTTTTCTAATTCTTCTAATCAAAATTTGTAAGAATTAGCACATTTTATCTCGGAGGCCTATAATTTCCAAAAATTTGTAGACGAGTTTAATAGGAATGTAAAAGCAAGAAACGTTCAAGCCTTGAATGGGCCTGGGGAGAAAGCAGATCAGGTGCATGTGTTGAGAAAGCAATTAGTACACGTTGCTGAGAAGACCTGCAATGCGGTAAATCACTTATCTGTGAACACCAATGCCATGGTCTGCATCTGTTGTATCTCACTTTTTTGTTCTGATGTAAAAGGGAGTCTGTGCCCGCTGCAAATCAACATGAAAGCAAGCAGGTAAGGCAAGAGCATGTTACTGATGCATTTGTGCATGCTGTACTTTACATACCTAGTAATGGGATATGCTTCTATTTCTGTGTATAAGTGGAAAACGCTCTAAAAGCAGGGGGCATTTTGTGCGGTGGGGGAGACCAGAGGATAATTTGGGCAGCTCAACTGTCCAGCTGCAATTGCTAAGGCGCAAAGCACGGTTTCTACCACTGGGAAACTGCAGAATCCTACTGCACCAAAAATGCCACTCCACACATGTTGGATGCCTTCTTTTTGGGCTTCCCAGCGGTATCTGCTGGCTGGGTATGGAAACAAGATGCTAGAGGAGAGAAACCCTAGTCTGACCTGACAAGGTCTTCCCCATCACTGCTACCATTTCCTTGCTTTTTTAAATCCCACAACAGTACGTCATTAATTCACAGATCTTGTGTAAACATTTAAAACATTTTTGTAAATACAATTACACCTAAAGCCAAGCTATAACTCTCACAGACAACTTTAATTTCACACTGAACAAACATGATGCTTCTTCAGGTGCAGAAAATGAGAGGAAACGTGCCCCATCTTTGCCACTAAGGCTATGGAAAGTCACTGTAGGGCAAGTGGAAGGGGTACAGTGGTCTGTATCGCACGTCATGCCACAGCAGCTTCTTCTCCAGGAAGGAGACGGTATCCAGGGTGAGCACAAGGGTTTGATACTTGAGCATGCTGTACACATTAAGACCTGTGGAGGAGGAGACAGACCCACGGTCAGGACAAATGGACAATGCAACTGGCACTCACAGATGAAGGGCAGCAGAAGCACATCATGCCCTCTTCCAGCTCCTTTTCATGGCAAGATCATCTGCTGGGGTGCTAAGTGGAGAAGCAGGACTCCAAGGGTGCTGCAGAAGACATAAAGTGAGGCAGTGGCCCAGCCTGAGGATTACGGGGTGCAGCCTCTGACCAAGACAGGCTCATGGTCCCTCTAAGCCTAGTACAATCCACAGCAAGGGGCAGCCACGGCACTCCTCACTGCAGGCATGATTTGTTCCTAAGCAAATGACAAGATGCCAGGGGTGGCTCCTGGAACTTTCCACATGCAAGCAGGTGCTTCACCACTGGAGCTGCAGCCTCTCCCCTGCTGTTTCTCCCTCTAAGTCACCTGGAGGACAGAAGTATATCTAGAGTAAGAAAACTGGAAGCCCCTGTGCCCAACCTGGTCTCCAGGAGACTGCTGGTCAGCCTCTCAACTATCAGCCTGAATAACCAAGTGAGAACTGGGAAGACAGAGCACGGCCTCAGTGGGTTAGCACATGCTGCCCAATGGGGCCCATGTGGCATTCCAAAGGGGAGGGAGAAAGCAAGTGGGGGAAGATGGCTGGGAGTGGAAGAGCGATTCCCTCTGTCCCTTTGGAGAGAATGGCCTCCCTGTGCAATTCCCAGGGCTTCACTGTCAGGCACAGGTACGTTCACCATGTACAGAAAGATGCTCAGCACTGTAGTAGCCCGCAAGATTTCTAGAAAATATCTTCAGCCTATAGTTGTAAATTCTAACAGCAACTGATTAATTTGAAGACACGAACTGATGACTCAGGCACCTGCAGAGGCCACCTGGGTGTGAGTACTGCTTCTTTGCAAGACTCTTAAGGGCAAAACAGGGAACATCTGGCAGCCTGAGAAGCTGTCCTGGGCACAACTGCAAAATGGCTTCCTGGGAGGAGGAGTAAGGCAGAGTGCAAGGCAGAGATTGGCTTGAATCCCAACGTCCTGACAGGCACCTCTGAACACAGCTTCATACCTGGAGAAACCTATTCCATAGTGACTGAATGCACAATGGCAAGAAAATACTTTTAATTAAAGATGTGGAAGAGGAAGGCCGACTGAGAAAACTGTCTGCAAGCAAACTGGTGCCCAGAGACATCAGCTTGCACTTGCTGGACAGGGATCACCAAGAGTCCAAAGCGAGTGGTATGTGCAGATGAAGGGAGAAATCCTAAGGGGTGGGCCAGGACCAGAGCGTGTCCTCCTCCATCCATAAAATGGCAGTTGCGCTGCTGCCAGGCCCTCCAGAGGCAGTGGGCTGCCTGCCTGGGTGTGCGGGAGCCATCCCGCAGAAGGCCCTGCCCACTGGCCCCCTCACTCGCCCACTCACCTATGGCTGGCAGGACTGCGATGGTCTTCACATCACTCACTGCACGCTTGATGTTCTCAGGAATCTCATTGCTGGAAGCCAGAAGGATGGAAGCCATTATGCAGAACCTGAGCCCAGAATTAAGCCCCGGCCGCAAAACGCTGCTCAGCTCCCTCCGTTAGGGCTGGATGGAGTGCCGTGACCTGCCCCTGCGGGCACCTGCAGCACAGAGCAGTGCTAAACTACCAGCCACTTCGGCTAGTGAAGGGAGCCCAGATCATGGCAGGCCCACCTGTGATTCGGAGGCCTCCCCGAGGCTGTGGAGGGCTGCCCACAGAAGCGAAACGGCAGCAGGTCTCCAGTGCCTGAATGGAGCCACTGTGAGTTAAGCTCCCGTGGACTGCGGCCCACTTTGTCCCATGCGCGAGAGCTGATTCCACGAGAGCTTGGTGAGTCCTGAGCTTTGCGAGCTGCGTGGGGAGGAGGGCCAGCCAGCGCAGCAAAGGCACTCCAGGGGAGGGCCCAACTTCTTCTCCACCAAGAGACGAGGAGGGCCCAAAGGGGACTGTGCCCTGCCACAAGGGCGCAATTTTCACCTCTGAAGACAGATGGGATCTTGTACTCATGCACAAGGAGCACGGGCCTTTCTGCACAACTTGTGAGTGTTTCAGGCTAAGGACTCTCCTAAAGAACCCCCCTCCCCCCAAAATCAAGTGGACTTAAACATGAGCTGTTTTGCACAGGAACACATCCTAAGGCAGAAATGTCGCATCTGCTGTGATCTGAGCACGCCCTAGCCAGATCCCATTATAGGGCAATAGGCTGAAGCCACCTTGGACACAAGTGGCAGGGTGGCCTGATGATCAAGGCTTCTTTGGACGAACTCCCCTCTCAGCCTGTCCACCTGGGACACTGCAAGCAGAGCAGAGCTGGCTGAGCCACCCTCCCGAGTGCCTCCCGAGGTCGGAGGAGGAAGGCTGCATGGCTCTTACCACGGCCCTGAACAAACCGAGCATGTCAGCCAGAACACACCCAACACACTCTCCTGTGTCTGCTTCATTCAGGCCACAGCAAGCAGCAGTGGGGCCCCTTCCACCCATTAATGATCCACTTATTTGAGCCTCAAGAACCCCTGGCTTCCTGGGAAAGCAGTCTGAACACTACTGACATGGGCAAAAATGGTCACAAGCTTGTAGGCTATTACAGAACCCATCTCCATGGCTGAAAGCATCACCCACCCAGTCAAGCAAAGATCCCGCCCTGATGCCTCCAAAACCCTGTCTCAGATGTGCCAGCCTCCCACTGCAGCAGAGGGGGGGATGAGGGTACCAATCCAGCCCACCAGGATTCCTCAGAGGGCCACATCCTTCTTCTTGACCACCCCCCTTTGCCACAACCACCATTCATTGAGTGGTTTGCTATCTCTTGTGTATTTTCCCCCGTTCCGAAGAGCTTTACTGCCTCTCCTAAAGCTGCATTCCTGGCAGGAAGAGCTTTAAGTTATAATATGTGGTTGGGTTTTTTCTATTTCTTGCTTTTCTTCTTTTGCCTCTGGCTCCACCCACCCAAAGGAATTGCTTTTTCAAAATGGAATTCCACCTTCCCGCTGAAAGAGACTCCCCACTCTCTGCCCCCATCTTCAGCCACATCCCCAGCCAGTCCCTGAAGCAAACTCACACGTCCACGATCAACACGGATGCTCCCCAGTGCCTATAGTGGGCCAGATCCAGGAGATATTGGGGGTCTGAGGTTGGCATCTCTAGAGAGTCTACAACATGAAGATCATTCTACAGGGGAAGGAAAAAATAGAGACGCGGCACAATTATTGACTCTAAAGCAGTTTGGGGTGGCCTGTTTGTTAAGCTACTTCCCTTTGAACCCTTTGAATCTCTCCTCAGACTGCCTGGGTCTCTCAGCAATAGCTCAGTGCCAAAACACGGGCTTTGCATGTGGAAAAACCAACCATGCCTGGTCAGCATGGCCACTGCTTGGGCAAGCCTGCAAGCCACCTACAGAGTCATTGTAGAAAAGGAACTTGTTAAGACTCTCGCCTACAACTCACGAGTCAGAGACTCCCTGTCAGGATGGGAACAGTATCTTTGCAGGCAGTGTCTGCACGCTTTCCTGGAAGGTTATGAACCTTCTTCAAAAAAAGTTAAAGCCAAAGTTCTCCAGCACAGGATTCTCCCCCCACCCTGCAGCTCCCATCGTTCCTAACCTGGCACCTTCCACATGCACTTAGCTGCAACTCCCTCAAGCAGTACAGAGAACTATGACAGCGAAAGTGGGCAGAAGCAGGTGACGTCTAGCCTGAAGACAAGACAGGCAGCTGGAAGCATCTGCAACTATCTGCAGGGCTGTCCTCAGAGGTCTTTTCAGCAGAGGCTGGACAGCCACCTGGGAGGATGGTCCAGCTCTGAATTTTGGGGCATGGCCAAGCAGGCTCCCTTCCCACTTGATAATGCTAGGAACCTTTCACGTTCTCCCAGCCTCAGGCCCCCAACTTGACAAGGCCACTGCAGTGTTTACAGTGACCAGGTAGGTGGGTGCTTGAATGCTAAAAGTGCTCCACAACCACCAAGTGTGGGCGCCCACATGGAACGGCAGGCGAGCAACCCATTCCGCAGCCTTGCCAGACTGGTGAGGACCAGAAGCTCAGCCAAGCCCTCTGTCTGTGTCCACACAGAGCTACAGCTCATACCTGTGCCAGTTTGGTCGTCAGGGCCACCTTGAGGCCCAGGACACGCACCTTCATGGGGAGCATGTAGTAGTAGCTGGTGGGGCCACGGGGGCCATGGGCCACACCACCTAGGAGGCAGAAAGGGACAAACATTTGTTACAGTCATTGCCCACAGTCTCACGTGGTACGCATGAACCGTGTCGCCATTTTGTTCTCATGGCCCCCACCTTGTGAGTGGGGGCTAGAACCAGGTCTCCAGAGTCCCAGGCCAGCAGGCTCAGCTACTCCCTGACACTGCAGTATGGCCAAGGTCAGTAGTCGGGGCCTGCTGACAGAAAGCTTGCAGTGCTGCTTGAAGGGGGCTGCTCGCATCCTCAGGGCATACAAAGTTAAGGTACCCCACAACACTCCAAAGAGTGGGAGAAGCCGAGGTGAAGCAGCACTCACCACCACGCCACAACGGTGACCGGATGCTGCCATGCCGGGCCCGTCCGGTGTGCTTCTGCGCCCAGGGCTTCCTGCCTCCACCACGCACCTCCGCACGCGACTTCGTCTTGGCGTAGCTCTGAAAGATCAGACTGGGTCAGAGCATTAGGCCGGGTGGTCTTCCCAGACTTCACCTCTGGGACCCTTACAACCACGACAGAAGCACCTTGGTATGATTATCCGAGTGAGGCTAAAGCTCAGTGACTCACTCAGTGGAATTCACGGCTGAGGCAAAAAGCAAAAAGACCCCTGGAGGGTGACTTTTCCACTCTTTGGAGAGCAAACACTCTCCATATATCAATGCCTACTCTCCCACTACCGCCCCCTAAACCCTTTCCCCATAAAGGTTCTGGCCCAAAATTTCCTAGCAAAACTTATACAAGATAATTCTTTTCCCACACTGCCCACCTGCTCTCAACTTCCTGTCAAAATCAGTGAAGGTGTATTCACCAACCAGGGTGATGTAAATGTGCTCAAATTCCACTGATATAGCCAATGCAGCATTGCTCACTCCAACACAATTTTCAAATTATGCACAAGAACAAGATGTAGACTTTGGAATCTACTTGTGCATCTCTCTCTTCTTCTGAGATTCTCTTTCCTAAGGAACTAGGAAGGGAACTTTGTTTTTAAAACAAGAAGTGGACAGTAGATGTATATGGCTAAAGAAATAGGGTTCAAAATATTATGGGTAGAAAACTGTATCCAAACCCTTCTTCAAGCTAATTTCAGCATTATTTTGAAATATCTCAACAATTAGTTGCAATATATCTGCAGTTATATCGTGATAAGGACTTAAATTTTATGCATATTTTTAGCCTCAGCATTGAAAAGATAACCAGAGCTATCTTAGTCTGAAATTTCAGCAGGCCTTTCCATCACACTTATGAGTATATTTCTGTAGGCATGAGGGCTAGAAACTTCCTTTCCCTGCCTCTTTCTAAATGCAGCTGAGATTTTCAGGGAGCTGAATCTGGTTTTCAATACCACCTTGCTGGTACTGATGCACAGAAGAGCAAGCAGCACCAGCAATATTTCTAGCTCAGATGTCCTTTAAGCTCAAGCACGGCACCGTACCCTCAGGCCCTGGGCTCTGAGCCTCCAGGTTGAATCTCCCACCTTTGCCCAGGGTACCCAATGCAGCCTCATTCGAGGGTACAAGGGTGCCCCCCTCCCCCCGACCCACAGTGGGCCTTTGCTGAAGGACCCTTCAAATCCCTCCAGCCTGGAGCTAGGCCTGCCTGGTCCTCACTGAACCCCCACAAGCCACACAGCACGTGCTGGTGCCCTAGTGCACAGGGGAGACGGGAGATGCTGGGCCAGGGAAGAGCACATGCAGCGTAGGAAGGGCATGTGACCACAGGGTGAGGCCATGCATGCATGCTGCACTTTCACAATATCACTGAGTAAGCAGAATGTGCCAAGAACTGTGCCTTCTTAAAAAAAAAAGCAGCAAGTTTCCAGTTTTTATGGCCTATCAATTCAGCTTTTCCCAATCTGTGGCCCTCCAGATGTGTTGGACTACAGCTCCCAGTACCCCCTGGTCAACATGGCTGGCTGGGAATTAATTAATTTTAGCTACCCAAAGAATTGTGAATGATATGCTGAGAACCACTCATTCATTCCACCAGCATTCAACTCTCTGCCTTCTGTTTCACAATCACCGCCTTTTACTTACATGCATTTCAGTGGCATACGCATTGCAAAGAACCAGCATCAAAAACACACTAACCACAAGCTTAGTTAATATTGTACTCATAACTGGCATCCATTAATTGTTACTAATGAATGCATGAAATGGAAAAAGGTCCACCCCACCTCACTGCTTGACACAGCATTACTTTTCCAAAAAAGACATTCTTTCTGCAGGCTGGGGGAAACCTACAATTTCCAGACTTCTCCAGTTTTGTATTAGGGCTCTGTCCTGGAAATGCAAGCAGCTTCCTCCTTCCATGGCTTGGCACAAAGGCGTCTGGCTGGCCCCTCTCTGGCTAGGCAGCCCAGGGCCAGGATGCTGCCTCCAAGACCCCATCTTACATTCCCGCAAACCTCCCAACACTTACAATTCTCTTGAAATTCCGCTGCCAGGTGACCACCGTGTGTAGGATGTCGATGCTGAGGGGAAAACACAACAGGGAGAGACAATACAATAGTTAGCCAGAGGCCTTGCTTACAAGAATTGGATGACACAACAGCGGCAGCTGAGAGAGGAAGAAATGGGGCCCACATGTTTGGGAATGTAAGGCAGGATGGTTACACCGATGCCTGAAGCCTTATCTGAGGTAGACTTGGTAGTCTTGCAGCCTTGTCTGTGGTAGTCAGCAGGATGCCAGATTTTGGTCTGAACCTAGAATGTGGGCTTTTTTTTTTTATTTTTACCCCTATAAACGTGGCTATAAAACTAAAAAACTAACTGAAAAACTCCTGCAACAAAGCCAAATCTAAGGGATGGTGCAGGCATTTTGCTCCTATGGTGCATGTGGACAGGGCCAGCCAGGTATTTCGGTGATTCCTGTTGTACTCCAAACTCATGTGTGTCAAGCCTTACCCCATTTAAATCAGGGAAGGAGAAATGTGGCACATGACAACAAAATGGTGACCCCCAGTGACAGAAACTCTGTGCAGCAAGCCCACTTGGCACCAACATCATCATCTTCTCAGTGCTAGGTTAAGACATTTGACAGTAATAAGATATGATCCTGAATGGTTTTGGGATTTCCAGTTGAGCGTTTATAATTATTAAGTTGCTTATAATGGCTTTACATCATGTTATTGACTTGCATTTTTAGAATGGAATTTTTAAACCATCTGTAAAGGTTTGACTATTGGTCTAGAAATCTATTTAACAAAAATGCAATGAACATCCTACCCTTTCTCTATCAGCACTCTGCTTCCCCTGTTCCCCACTACTCCTGAATTAAAGCTTTATTCAAGAGCACCATTCTTGCACATTTCCAGCCACGCCTGCAAGAAGCATGCACAAAATTTCAGTTCTTACCGTGGCATTACTGCAAACACATCAGGATGCAAGTCTGTCAGCCCTATGTGCTTGGCATCATAATGTTTCAGAGACTCCACCCAGGCCTGGACAGGTGTGAGGTGCTTGGGAATGGCAATGTTGCATTTCCGTAGGATCGGGTCACCACAGACCACCTCAGGATGTGTCTCTAAAGAGAAGCAAAAGATACAGAACCATCACACTGGTGATGTAACTTCAGGTAAGTCTCACTTGTAATGATTTTTAAATGTTGCAAATCAATGCAACATTTGAATCTGCCTTGGTCGCCCTGTACGATGACCTGTGCAGGGAGAGGGACAGGGGGAGTGCGTCCCTGTTGGTTCTCCTGGACCTCTCAGCAGCTTTCGATACCATCGACCATGGTATCCTTCTGGATAGGCTGGCCAGGTTAGGAGTTGGGGACTCTGCTTGGCAGTGGTTCCGCTCCTACCTGGCTGGCCGACTCCAGAAGGTGGTGCTGGGGGACTATAGTTCTGCACCATGGCAGCTTTGCCATGGAGTTCTGCAGGGCTCTGTTTTGTCCCCCATGCTTTACAACATCTGCATGAAACCGCTGGGAGAGGTCATCAGGAGGTTTGGGCTGCGGTGTCACCAGTATGCTGATGACAACCAGCTCTACCTCTTGTTTACATCTACTCCAGGTGAAGCGGTGGCTGTGCTGAACCAGTGCCTGGCCGAGGTAATGGGCTGGATGAGGATCAATAAACTGAAACTCAATCCAGATAAGACAAAAGTCATGTTGGTGGGCGGATCGCAGTTTCAGGTAAGTGACTTTGACCTTGTCCTGGACGGGGTAGCACTCCCTCTAAAGGACAGGGTCTGCAGCTTGGGAGTGCTCCTTGACCCAGAGCTGTCACTGGAATCCCAGGTGGCAGCGGTGGCAAGGAGTGTTTTCCTATAGCTTCGGCTGATCCATCAGCTCTGCCCTTACCTGAACAAGCACTGCCTAGCAATGGTGATTCATGCTCTGGTAACCTCCCGGTTGGATTACTGTAATGTGCTCTACATGGGGCTGCCCTTGAAAATGGTCCAGATACTTCAGCTAGTACAGAACAGAGCTGCCAGACTGCTGACAGGGACCGGTCGTTATTTTCATATAACACTGGTCCTCTACCAGCTACACTGGCTTCCAGTTGAAGTCCGGGCCCAATTCAAGGTGCTGGTTTTAACATATAAAGCCCTGAACAGCTTAGGACCAGGATACCTGAGGGAGCGCCTCTTCCCTTACATGCCCTCATGCCCCTTAAGATCTGTGGGAGAGGCTCTGCTCCGGGAGCCCTCTGTAAAGGAGATAAAAAGAACATCTACCCGGAGCAGGGCCTTCTCTGTGGTGGTGCCCAGATTATGGAATGCGCTCCCTGGAGAGGTGCACCTGGTGCCGAGTCTATATTCTTTTTGGCACCAGGTTAAAACCTTTTTATTTAGTTGCTATTTTAAAAACTAATACTTTATCATTAACAGTTACTCTTTTTGTTTTTGTTTTATTATATAACATTTTATGGAATTTGTTATTTATAAAGATTATTGTATTGTTTTTAATTGTATATATTGTGAGCCGTCCCGAGATGCCAAGGCATGTGGTAAGGGCATACAAAAATTTTAAATAGGTAGATAGATAGAATATGCTAATTCACCCATATAGATTTTCACAAGGCTATATACATAAACATCTTATTAATTTCTGACATACTGAAGAAAGAAAGAAAGAAAGAAAGAAAGAAAGAAAGAAAGAAAGAAAGAAAGAAACTAACTCAGATTCAATTTATAAATGCTTTCTTTCTCAGTCACCTAGAGAAAATGTTTCCTTACTACAAGTGTGTGATTTAAAAGCCTATAATCAGATTTTTTAAAAATAGAGCCCTTATCTATTAATCTAATAAAGCCCAATAAAATTTTCCAAGTAGGACTGGAAAAGTTTCAAATAACTAGCTCCTAGCATCAGATGTGTTACACATGGTTACAACAAAACATTTTCAGTGTCTACATACTTGCATAGCATTTTCAGATGGTCAGTCTCTAAAATTTTGTTAGCAATATTTTAAGCATTTGAGAGTCTGTTAGATTCCTAAAATTATAGACCTATATCATTATTAAATGTGGATTACAAAATTTTTGCCTCCATAATGGCAGAAAGATTAAAGAAGTTTCTAATAGACTTTATTCATTCAGATCAAAATGGCTTTTTGCCTAAAAGACAAATGAGGAATAATTTGAGAACTATCTTAGATATCCTAGAGTATTATGAGATACATACGGAAAAACCAATGGCTTTATTATTTATGGACGCACAGAAAGACTTTGATAATGTCAACTGGCAATTTATGAAGCAACAGATGGCCCAAATGGAGTTTGGTAAAAAGTTTACTAATGCGATATCAAGCATTTATCAAAAGCAGTCGGCTAGGATTATAATTAATGGAGAATTTACAAAGATTATAGAGATACAAAAGGGTACAAGACAAGGATGCCCGTTATCACCTCTGTTGTTTATACTGATTTTAGAAGTGTTGAACAGAAATATCAGGGATAATGTGGACATTAAAGGTACTAGAATTAGAGATGAAAGCTACAAATTGCAAGCATTTGCTGATGACCTGGTTTTTATAACGGAGGAACCCTTTGGAACAATGCCTAAACTCCTACAAAGGACTGAAGAATATGGTGGTTACTGGAATGAAAATAAATAGAGAAAAGACGAAACTGTTAGTAAAAAATGTTACACAAGACCAGAGAAAAGCCTTGCAGGAACAAGTAGATTTATTATTATTATTATTATTATTATTATTATTATTATTATTATTATTATTAAATTTCTATGCCGCCCCTTGCCGAAGCCTCGGGGCGGCTTACCACACAATAAGATACATATAATAATTTATAGATTGTTAAAAAGGTTAAGTATATGGGAATTTATCTTACAGCTAGGTGTACTACTTTGAAAGAAAACAATTATGATAAACTATTGAAGGATATTAAGGGTGATTTGGAAAAATGGGCTAATTTGCAATTATCTTTGCTGGGAAGAATCGCACTTGTTAAAATGAATATATTTCCAAAGCTTTTGTTTTCATTTCAAATGATTTTCATAAAAATTGATACAAATTCTTTTTATGATTTAAATTTTCAAATTTCAAGATTTATATGGAGAAAGAAGAAACCAAGGATTAAATTAAAAATACTTCAGAAAGCTAAAGAGAATGGGGGTTTTGGTCTCCCTGGTTGGATGTTGTATTATCAAGCTTCTGTTTTAACATGGCTAAAAGAATGGGTAACTTTAAGAAATAAGAAAATTTTGCATCTTGAAGGACACAATTTGCAAATGGGCTGGCACCCTTATATGTGGTATGAGAAGGCTAAGTCACATGGTTCTTTTTTAAGTCACTATATTAGAAAATCATTAATGTCAGTGTGGGAAAAGTTAAAGATAAAATTGTATAATAAATTACCAAGATGGCTTTCACCCATGGAAGCGTTTGTGTATCCAAATGCATTGAATTTTGAAGGGATTATAAGATATGATGACATTTTGGATAAGGATGGAGGACTGAAATTGAATCAAGAAACACAAGAACAGGGATCTAATATCTCTTGGTGGCATAAGCTGCAGATACAATCGAGATATGCTAAAGATTGTAAAGTGTGGGGTTTTTATAAGGAACTAACAGCGTTTGATCAAGTGATGTTTAAATCAGATGAGAAAATGATTAAAAGATTATATGACTTCTTACTTAATAGGAAAAGACAAACAGGTTAAGGAAACTATGATAACATGGGCACAAAATTTTGGATATAATATTGAATTAGAAAAGTGGCAAAAGCTGTGGGAGAGAAATATCAAGGTAACATTAGCAACTTCGTATAAAGAAAACTTGTATAAAATGTTTTATAGATGGTATCTGTAGCCAAATAGATTAGCTAAGATGTTTCCAAATATGTCAAATGGATGTTGGAAATGTAAACATATATTGGGTACTTTTACTATATGTGGTGGACTTGTGATAATGTGAAAAAGTATTGGATTAAAATACATAAATGGCTTGAGGAAATGTTACAAAATCCTTAGCTTTTAAACCTGAAGTTTTTTTATTAGGCATTATACCGGAAGACATTAGTAAACAAGAAATGTATTTGTTTTTACATGTAATCACTGTGGCGAGGGCTGCATTCGCTCAACACTGGAAAAGTGAAGAACTACCCACCAATGAACTGATTCTAAAAAAGATCCTGGATTGTGCAGACATGGATAGATTGACTTTATCATTGAAGGAGAAGGAAGATACTGACTTCTATCAAACTTGGGACTCTTTTTATTATTGGCTAGAGAAACGGGACTTCGCATAGATTTAAATATGTTTTTAAGTTAATAAATGGAGAGAGAAGGGTGTGGGGGCTGACCCAGCAGGCTCAATGTTTTTGATGATGGATGTTGTTTGTAGTTTTCTTTTTGTCTTTTTAGGATTATAATTTCAAATAAAACTTAATCAGAGAGAGAGAGAGAGAGAGAGAGAGAGAGAGAGAGAGAGAGAGAGAGTCTGTTAGATTCCTAAGGCAGATTACCCAGAGCTCCCACCTCTTTCCTCTGAAGGCTTCTCTGATCTGGTATCCTTCATACCTTTTGGACTTTAATTCCCAGGATTTCTGACCACTGGCCATGCTGACTAGGGCTGCTGGGAGTTGAAGGTCAAAATCTCTGGGAGGCACCAAGCTGGGGAAGGCTTCTCTAAGCCAAGGACTACTGTACTAGAGGAGGACAAGTTGGTTCTCACCCAAAAACTGTCTGCAATGAATGGTGTATGTGTGTGAGGGGATGGGGTGGGGGTGGAAAATCTTGAATCAGGTAAACACCTATTAGTCTATATTGACTGTGTTTTAATGCAGCATGTGTTACTGATACTTAGCATACAGAACTTTAGAAATATGTCATGTTAATTTTGTCCTGTATCAAAAGTTTTTTTGGTAGTTTCTATTAAAGCAATTATTTCTGCAGAAAACCACATTTTATTCTAACAGATCATAAGCTTCACTTAGAAACTATTTTAATGAAATGCTGGTAATACTTGAGAGTGCAATAGCATATCAGAGTGGCATTGTGGCTAGTGTGTCAGACCAGGACTGGGGTGACCAAGGCTCAAATCCCCAGACAGCCACAAAGATCATTTGGTGACCTGAAGTCAGGTCACTGGGACCTGTGCCCACCATAACCCACAACTTGTGGAAGCTAAAACTATGTGAGCCACACTGAGTGCCCTGAAGGAAAAACAAAAATACAGCAAATAAATTTATGCATGCTCTACTGTCATGAAAAAGGCTTACCTCTTGGTAAAGCTGCATCTACCACATTAGTGGAAACAGTGGAGTTGCCCAGAATGCCAGTCTGGTTTGACAGCGTAGACAAAAGCTTGGGGTGGACATTAAAAAAAAGGTACATGAGATCTCTTATAAACTGCATCTACACAAACAAGCAAAACAATAGACAGCTCCCTTAAAAAATGTTTGTTCTCCATTGGTGATGCCTCTGCCTAAATCTTCACATGAGCATAATATCAGCTTGCTACCACCACCCTCAAACCCCAAGTTTCCAATAGTTTTCTAGGTTTACCCAAGTCTTCCTTATAGACCCTCACAGCCCATATAAAATGCAGCAGAGGACCAGTTTTATGCATATATAAAATAAAACTATAATATGTAACTGCATTTTCCCATATCACCCCATTGTCCATTTCTACTGCATGCCCCTCCCACACCCATTCGGGATGTTTGCACATGACAGCTCAGCACGGGTTACTTAACCCAGAGTGAAGCTGCAGTACATGCTGGACAGTTTGAATTTGAAAACCCCACTCAGGGGATGTCATATTGTGCAAATCCAACAAGTGTGGGTTATGCAACAGTTAAACAGCCTTTACATAACCCTTGGTTTAAGGGTAAGTAATCCATGATACATCAAAACCTAGTCAATGTCTCCCCTCACTACTGAAATACATGTAGTAACCTCTCTAAGGAAGGGACCTACTTTTTTGTTGATATCTTTTTTCTAAGTTTAATTAGTGATGTTGTACTGAAAAAGAAAGAAGGCCATGCTTTGGCATATACTTTTGCTCTCTACAGATGATATCTAAAGGCTAGATTTTGCCTTAAACACCTTTCAGTGGCACAGTGAAAAAAGGCACCACCTTCCTGCCTATGGCAAAAAAATTGTCACTGCCCTCCCACCAGACCTTTGGATCAGCTGTTCCCAACCTGGTCAATCTCTACATATAGAGTTCTACTCCCGTCATCCGCAGCCAGGACATGTATATGAAGTTTTCAGTACATCTGTAGGGCAGCAAGTTAAAGAAAGCTGTGTCAGACATCTATCAGGGATGTTTTCGGTAGCTTAGGGTTCAAGTGGATTGACAAAGATAGGGTGGTGATAGCCACTACACTTTAGAAAAAGAAGTGAACAAACTCAAGGAAAATGGGTCTATAAACAGTTTATACCTAAACAAAGCTATTACCTGCCTTTAACAAAGCTACAGAGACATGGACCTGGATGTACCAGGTACTGGGAAAAACAGCAATGTGTGGACAACCTGTAAGCTTTCCAAGAACCCTTGACTTGGCTAAAACTAATTGCTACACTGTACAAATCACTGGTCTGATCTGACATGGCAACTCCTTTCCCTCTTATTAACAAATCAAGACAGGAACCTCTGTGGCCACAAGTCTGTTCCTGTGACAAAAGAAGATATACATGCACTTCCTATAGCAACTTTGGGGCTATAAATACAACTGAGAGTAGTTTCTTCTGAACACAGGCCATGGTTATCACCTAGTCTGCACCCTACTGGGATGACTGGAAAAAGAATTTTGTTAACTACTGCACTTTGGATATTTGGTTTTAATCTTCTTGGAAATGTTTTATATGAATGCTTTTGTTTTTATTATAATTGTTTATAGGTTTAAAATATGTTGCTATATATAAATAATAATGACTGTAGCTGTAGCATTTTGATATTAAGTGTAAATATTTTTATGACCAATTGTTCTACATGCTGTCAAGAAAATCTTATCTCATGATAGCCTCTTACTGCAAATTAATAAAAATAATTCATTGATTCAGTAGATCAGGCCATAAAAAAAGTACTTCTTCACGTAATTCATGTGCAATGTAATGGAAGTTGTTTGCTGCCATAAGATATGGCAGTCAGTGTTAACATCAGCGGCTCTGGAAATTAACTAGCCAAAATCGAAGGCAAAACATACCAACAGATCTCTATGAGCTGGGAGACTGCCTATCACTACACGCCAGCCGTGTGGGGAAGGGGTAGAGATTAAGAGAAGGCTGTTGCCTCAATGCTTTGCTTGTGGGTGTGCTGGTTGGCCATTGCGTGGGGAAGGAGGGTGCAGGACCAGACAGGCTCTGGGTTATGATGTATTAGCAGGCTGCGTAGCTGGAAGGCACCAGGTAGGGCAAGGCTGCCCTGTGCCTTTCCTGCCCTTCGTAGGATTCTCCCTCCGCCCGTGGCCTCGCTCGCTCCCTCCCTCGCCCGTCGTCACCCTCACCCGCGACGGAGCTGCCCGACTCAACGACAGGACACCGAGCCGCATCATCGCGCCGGCGGCTTCGGTGCCTCGCCGGGCTACGCGAGCAGCACATGCGGGGCAGTAGGTAGGCCTACTTCCGGCGCTCTGATGACATCAACTCGGAAGCGCTCTTTTCGCGCGCACATCGATTGCCTATTTTTAAAGACACAGTGAGGAGATAAACGCAGCCGCGTTCCTCATGGCCACCGGTCCGCTTTGCTCTGGAGCGTGTCAAGGACTGTCGGCGCAGGGAGGGCCCGGCGGGGGCCACATTCAAACCAAGAGCAGGGATAGCGGTCCCGGAAGTGACGAGTAAATGGCGGGCGGACTAAAAGGCGGGCAAAGCATCTGTTCGCACTCACTTCCGGTTTATTTGCACGGGGTTTGATTGTAGAGCGGTTGGGGTTCGGGCCGGGACGGTATTCCCCAACCTGACGCCCTCCAGATGTGTTGGACTACAGCTTCCGTGTTGTCAGCTGGCACATGTAGCATGAGGTGTGATGTAGTCCAGCGCATCTGGACACTAGGGAAGGCGGCTTACGTGCCGTCCCCCAGTAGGGGGCGGGGCTCGCATCCGTTCGGCGTGAAGTTCGTTCGGCTGGCTCGTCCTCAGCCTCGCCTTCCTCACCGGGCTCATGTGAAGGGAAAAAAGCCATGTGCAGTACCAGAAGGGCAGGTTTAAAACAGTAATAACAGCCATTTCGTTTACTCACGAGCCTGCTGGAGGATGGCAGTTACCCTTTGTAGATTCGCTTCCCTAAAGGAGTTTCCTTCTACAACTTTGAAATGGATTCCAAACACATTTTCTTATGACAGGTTTCTTAAATATGTTTTACTGGTTTAATGGTGTGATTTTCTCCATTGATAGGTTTGCTGCTTTGTAAGGACATTCTGTAACATGAAATTATATATGCTAATTCAGAAAAGTCCAAATTTACCAGGATTGGCAGTTAATCCCCTCTGTTGTCCATCATTACTGCTCTGCAAGTGTGTCCTGACTGCTTATTCTCCCCATTATCTGGAAAGCCAGAATCACAATTTTGTTAAATTAACTTGTAATTAACACTCAGGAAGAAAATAATGGCCCTCAATTCCATTCCTGGGGTCATTGGGCACATTTGCACATCAAGACCAACCAGTATGTGCTAATTAGGGTTGTTCTATAGTACAGGTTTGCACAGCATAGGAGATACCACCCAGCAGGATCTGGTGACCATGCAATTTGGGCCATTGTCTTTTGATTGAGAGGACACAGTCAATGCAGCAACATTTCTGCCCCCTGTATTAAGAACACCTGAAAAATCCAATGCAAAGACACGGAGGATTGGAAATGAAAGGATCCAAGGACAGCAAATTAGCCAGGCAGAGTAACAAAAGGGGATCTCTCTGCTATGCTGTGTGCGCTGTGAGCACGCAGGAGCTTTTAACTGTTTAATCATATTCCTTACAGGACACTAGCGGGTTTTCTCACAGCTTACTAATGAATGTGGTACACCCTTTGGTAATGAACTGCCATGACCTCTATGAGAACTGAACAGTCAACTGCTACCTCCACTTTTTGTTTTACTTTTCTCTCAGCACTTTCATGTTGCCAGGGGTGCTTTCAGAGAGTTCCTAGCACTACTAATTAAAAAAGCACTGTGCTCCAATTCTGTCGGTTTTCCTTACCTTTTCTGTGATAAGGAAAAGGATGGAAGAAGCAGTGAGAGAACACAGGGGAGCTGGTGTCGTAAAAACTTTGTAAGCACAGCAGGTCTCCAGAGCCTCAGACACTGGGGTGCAGGGCCAGGAGGCTGGAAGAAAAGGGTAGAGTTGCATCTGATGACAGTACAGGATGGTACCTGGGGAGGAAAGGAGCGGAGCCTGGCTAAGGCTGGTGGCTCAGGCCAGCATGGAACAAGACAGACATGGCAGCAGAGCTGATAGTGAGCACACCCACTGAGCCGGGCTGCAGTATGCAGCTGCTGATGCTAAGATCTAACAGCCCTGGAAACCTGAAAATCCAAAAACAACTGCTCAGACCCTGAAACTTGGCAATGCTGGGAGTGAAGGGGTTGGGAGTAAAGAAGGGGGAGATAGGAAGTGTTGTAATAAGAGGGACAGAACAAATTGTTCTCTTCAACTGCACAATACTTGAAAATGAAAAAGTGCAACAGTCTGCCTTTACCCACAGAGGAAAGTTCCACACTCACACCCAACTTTTCAGTCTGTTTCACCACTTTTGAAGGACTGACTCATGGATTTCAATACTGGGAGTAAAAGTCCTGGAATTATGGTTGCCTTCAGTTCCCTGGCAGGCTCTGTTGGAAGCCATGCTTTTCTACCTTCCAGGAAAATGGTTTTATTAAAAGAAAATCACAAGGATTACAGAAATTCAGTTTGTAATGAGGTCAAAAATTCAGCCTCAGAATTCTGTCTGAATGTGGGTGAGTGAAAAGTAATGATACATGCAGATACATGGTCAGAAAGGTGTCTTTTGTGAGCCTTGTTAAAACAAATTGGGGCAACTCAAAAGCACCTCTGTGCAGAGAAACCTCCCAAGAGCATGTTGCCATTACTTGGTGCTTTTTTCAGCCACACTTACTGTTACTTTTCTCAAAGCTGTAGCTGAACAGTTCCTAGGAGCAGGCATGGAGGGACTTACACTCAGGCAGTAGGAAAAGCATCTCTGGCAGCAGTTCCCAAGCAGATGCAGGATTGGGCTTTTTTGCACAGTTTAGAATTGTGTATCACAGGCCCGTTCTAGATGTTACACGGTGCACAACTGCAAGGCACACCTCACAACCAATGTTTAGGGAAAATAACATGCAACCTGATGCCATGGTGCTCTGGGTTTTCTCATCCCTGAAATTGGCAGGCGTTGAGGGGGGATGCTTTGTGCAGCAATGGCATGTCCGACTTTCAAGGCTGAGTGAAATGCAACCATCAGAAGAGAGAGAAGAGCTAGGAGTTGGGCCAGGAAAACCTTGTTGCTCCAGCAAAGTCCTAGCCCTAATAGGAGACATGTTTATAGCTCTTCTTGTCTTGGGAGGTCCAATGGCTACAGTTCTTGGGCCTGTCTGGAGCCTGAAAGGCTTCTACAAGCCTGTGTTGCAAACATTTTCACTCACTTTGTTTGAGGATCAAGTCCTCTCAGGCAACAATCTCAGTCATCTCAAGGGAGACACTAAAGACGACACCAAAGGCTCTTGGACCAAAAGACTTTTATTAAAAACAGCTGTAGCAGGGTGAAGCCTTGGCTCAAGCCACAAAGGAGCTCCACACCACACCCCTTTGTTCACAGTTAGTTCTACTTTGTGTGTCTAAGGGGTGTACAATTCTAAATAGTCGATCAACAAGCTGCACATTCTACCATCTACTTGCTTTACCTAATCATGACATGACCTTGGTATGCACCTGATAAGTCATTCCAGAGTGCTAGACATGCTCCAACTTCTACAGTGGGTAACTGAATGTGTTTCTCTAGACTACCATTTTTCTTGTGCAACATACATCTTTGGTGCAACGCCTAGAAGGCACCAAGCTGCAGCTCTGGTGTCACACCGGACAGGGCGCCTGCAGCTGGAGCTTAGGCTTCCCCTGTGGAGAAGGAAGTGAGGACCGCTGGCCATGCACCCCTGTAGTAGCTGGCTTGCAAAGAGAGTGCCTCTCCCGTCTGAGGCCTGGCCCACACATGTAGCAAATGGACTGGCTGAATGGAAGGAGTGCCTTCACAAACAAATCCCCAGGTACAAGCTCCCCACAAACTGGGAAGAAGTAGTCGCCCTTCAGAGAAAGAGAGATTTTAGCCCTTCCAGATTTCTACTATGAAGAAGTGGAGGGAATTTTTACACAGGAAACATTCAGATACGTTATCTGTCCACCTGCAGGCTGAAGGGATCTGGGCCATTGCCTTGACTTTCTGTGCCACCTCCTCTTGCTGTATGTAGGCTTTGTACCGATGACAGGAAGCATGTCGTTCCCCAGAGGACAACTGATGCCCCGCCCCTAACTTTTGGCCATGCTGGCTGAGAATGATGAGCGTTGGAGTCCAACAACATCTGGAAGAGAGACCAGGAGTTGGCCTAATTTTGTGGAAGAAAGGAAGCCCATATTGAACCTATTCTCCTTGCTTCAGAAAGAGAGAGAGAGCGCGCACACATCCTTGGGGCCTTGGTCTTTGGGGATTTCATAGTCCCACTGTTGGTAGAACTTATTTATCTGTCAAGATTTTTACTTTTTTGACAGTGCTTTGGTCTGTTGCTTTTAAAAACTGTTTTAAGGGCAACTTCTTCTTCCTTCTCTTTTCTCCTCCTATATTATTTATTTACTTATTTTATACTGATAATTTTAATTTTATATTATTATGTTTGTAACTCAGTGTATTTTTTGTATTTTTGTATTTAGTGGTAATTTATTATGTTCTATTGTATTTCAATGTATTTTATTGTGTTGTAAGCCGCCCCGAGGCTTCAGCAAGGGGCGGCATAGAAATGTTATAATAATAATAATATACTAAAATAGAATAAAATAATAATGACCCTTATCAACAGAAGCTAAGGCTACAGTCCAGTCTATTTACACACCCTACTAAACTCCATGGATTTAGCTCTAATTAAAATCCTTGGATTGGACTGCAGGGTTCTTGAAAGAATTGTGATTCCTTTTAATCTAGCATGTAATCTTGCATATTTGGATCAGGTTAGTCCACATGTACTTTTGTAGCCATTTCATGAATGTCTCAGCTGATTTTCCCATTTCCCATAATGCTGAACAGTACACTGGCATCTCCTGGCTCTCTTCACAAACTAAGCCTGGAGACAATCAGTACCTTTTAGAACAAAATTGGATGTTTCAAGAGAGGCTTTGCTTCCCACAGTGCGCACTTTTTGTCCCACAGTCATCTCTCATCCAACAGGTTTTGCAGAAGCCTGCCAATCTTGTTTTCCAGGGCTAAAAGTAGGATGAATGTACAAACCAGGGAGGACTCTTTCTTCAGATTGAAGCCTCAAAATACTGCAGTGGGTTTACCATGGAATCATAGGCATGCACATGCAGAGTTTAATGGGAGTTACTTTCAGATTTCAGGCTCCAGTTCTCTATATACTTACAAGGGAATAAGGCTCCTTAAAATCAACAAAACCTTATTTTTGAGAGGGTATTATATTTATTTGAATAATTTCTGTCCTGCCTTTTCTCTTATGAAAGTACCACTCAAGGCAGCTAA